AAGTAAACGCTGGTCATGACCCTCTAGATTGATTTCAGGACCCATTAATGGGCTTGGCAGAATTTGGAAAAAAAAACAAAAACAAAAAAACACTAGCCTAGGCACTGAGTACAGGAAAACATCTTTTGAGATCAAATCTGAGCAATAGCTCAGGGCCAGATGATATCCAGCCTTTTCAGCCAGAAGAGTGCTCTTCATCCTTTCCCGAGGATCTGAATTTCCATCAGGTATCATTTCCCTTCAGCCTGAAGAACTCCTTTTAGCAATTCTTGTAGTGCAGGTTGGGTAGTGACAAATTCTCTTAGTTCCTGTATATCTGAAAATGTTTTTCTTTATTTCATCTTCATTTTTGAGGATTTCTCCTTGACGGAGAATTCTAGCTTAAGTGTTTTGTTTCTCTTTCTGCACATTAGCAGATATTATTGTCTTCTGGAGTCCACACTTCCTCCACAGTTTCTTAAGGGAAGTCAGCTGTCATTCATACATGGGGGTGGGCAAAATAATATGTTTTTCTCCCTGTCATTGGCTGCTTTTTCTTTTGTCTTTTGTTTCACTAGTTTTACCATGATGTGTTTAGTTTAGTGGGAGTTTCTTGGTAAATTTTAAAAGTTTATTTATCCTGCTGGGTCACTGAATTTCCTGGACCTATAGGGTGGTTGTTTTAGATCTAATTAGGTAATTTTTGGCCTACATTTATTCAAATAATTGTTTCTACTGTTCCTTCTCCTCTCTTTCTGAAACTCCAATTACACGTATGTTTGACTCCTCGCTACTCTCCCACGGGTCTGAAAGCCTCTCTCTTTCTTTAATACTTCTTTCCAAAGCATGTTGGATTTCTATTGTCCTGACTTCTGGTTCACTGAGCTTTTCTCTGTTGTGCTAAACTGCTGTTAATTGCACTAATGATTTTCTTTAAGTTAGATTTACTAGACGTAACTCACATACAGTAAAACCCACCCTTTTAACTGGGTACAGCTTATGAGTTTTGACAAATGCAAACAATCATGTAATTACCGCCATAATAAAGATAGAAAAGTTCCATAAGCCCCCAACATTTCTTCATCCCACTTTATAATCAACACTCCACACCCCCATGAACCGCCGGCCTCAACGAGGCAAACATTGATCCGTTTTCTATCTCTATTCTGTTGCTGTTCCAGAATGTCAGAATGGGATCACAGCCTCTGAGTATGGATTATTTCACTTAATGTAACGCATGTGGATTCATTCCTGTTCCTAAATGGATTAGAAGCTCATTCTGTTTTATTGCGAAGTCGGATCTCATTGCATGGATATATCGTGGTTGCTCATTCATTCTCCAATTGAAAAACATGTGGGCTGTTTCCAGTGTGGGGCGATTATGACTAAGGCTTTCATGAATATTCTCACACAGGTTTCTATGTGAACATGTGTTCCATTTTACTTGGATTGCTGAGTTGTGTGTTAAGTGTACGTTTAACTTGATAAGAAATTACCAAACTGTGTTCCAAAATGCTCATACCACCTTGCATTCTTACCAGCAATGTATTTGAGTTCCCACTGCTCCATATCTTGCCAGTAGATGGTATTTTTACTTTTTCGTTTTTATTTTTACTTTCAGCCATTCTAATAGGAGCATAGTGGTATCTCATTGTGGTTTTAAGTTACATTTCTGTGATGACTAATGATATTGAGCAATTTTATATGTACTTTTTTTGCCATCCATACATCTTCTTTGGTGAACTAGGTCTATTCAAATTTTTGCCTATTAAAAAAAAACTGAGATGCTTTCTTATTCCTGTGTCTAGAGAGTCCTTTCTATATTGTAGACAGAAGTCCATTATCAGATATGTGCTTTGCAAATATTTTCTCCCAGTCTGTGGCTCAGTTTTTTCAATCTTATAACAATGTCTTTTGAGAGCAGAAGTTTTGACCTTTTTAAGAAGTCAAATTTATTAATTCTTTTTTTTTTTTAAAGGACCATGCTTTTAGGGTTGTACTGAAGAAATCTTTGGCTAGGTCACAAAAGTTTTCTACCGAAAGTCTTATAGTTTTAGGTTTTACATTTAACTGTATGATCTACTTTGAGTAAATGTACACGGTGCTAACATGGGTTGACTTTTTTTTGCATATGGATGTCCAATTGTGCCTGTATTTTACCATTTTTCCACTGAATTGTTTGTATACCTGTGACAAAGTCAACTGGACACTTTTGAAAGGGTCTATTTCTGGGTTCTCTGTTCTGTTCCATTGCCCTATATGGTTATCTTTTCACCAGTAGCACACTGTCTGCATTATATGCTTTATAGTTATGTTTTATAATAAGTCTTGACACCAAGTAGAATGAGTCCTCTAATGTTTTTCAAAACTGTTTTGACTATTGCACTTCTGTTGGCTTTTCATATAAATTTTAGAATTAGTTGGTGAATCTCTACAAAAAGTTCTGCTGGGGTTTTTATTGGGATTGTGCAGAATTTATAGATCAATTTAGGAGAAATGACACCTTTATTATATTGAGTCTTCCAATCCATGACCACTGAATTTCTATTTATTAAGGTCTTCTTTAACTTCTCTTGTAAGTGTTTAGTTGTTTTTACCATTCAAATCTTGCACATGTGTTGTTAGATTTATATGCAAGTATTCTGTGTATTTTGGAGCTGTTGTAAATACTCCTTAAAAGAATTTCAATTTCGAATGGTGTTTTGCTAGTGTATAGACATACAGTTGATTTCTATAGGTTGATCTTGTGTTGCAACCTTGCTAAAACTTCAGTCTTTCGAATTTCCTACACAGACAATCATGTCATAAGTGAATAAAGTCTATTTTATTTCTTCCTTTCTGAAATGTTTATCTATTTCTACATTTCACCTTATTGTACTATCTAAGACTTCCAAAACAATGCACTAATTTAAAGGGCTAACCTTTCTTCTGTTCTTCTGCAAGAAAAAGATTTGGTTTCACTGATTCTCTATTTTTTTCTTTTCAATATCTTTGATTTCTTTCTATCTTATTCTATTTTCTAGTTTGGGGTATAATTTGCTCTTCTCTTTATTTTCTTAAGGTAGAAGTTTACACTAGTAATTTGAGACTTTTCTCTTTTTCTAATATAAGTATTTCATGCTATAAATATCCTCTATGCAACGCTTTTGCTGTATCTCACAAATTTTGATATGTTGTCTTTTCATTTTTATTCATTTCAAAACACTGTCTAATATCCTTTGTAACTACTTCTTTGACTCAATTGCTGGTAGTGTTTTGTATAATTTTTATATATTTGGGGATTTTACAGATAATCTTTATTGGATTTTAACATTCATTCCATTGTGATCAGACAACGTACTGTGAATGATTTCAACTTTTTGAAATTTGTTAAAAATTATCTTATTGCCTAGAACACGGTATTAGAGAATGTTCCAAGCGCACTTGAAAAGAGTAAATATTTCATTGTTATTCAGTGGTTCCTTTCTTTCAAGAGTCAAATCCCCTCCATTGTCTCCCTGCTTTTCGTCATTCTCTAGTGCCTGAGATAGTCTTTTTAAAATATTTTTTATCACATTTTTCAATCTTATCAGTAAGAGAGCTAGTACTTTACCATTTCCTATAGCCAGAACTCTCAGACTTCTTGTAATACGTGATAAAACTTTCTTAAATATTTAAGCCAATGCATGTTGAGTTTTTGGATACTTTCAAGAAAAAAATCCTAACTCAGGCATGTACACCATAGTTCACAATGTAAAATTGAAATGCCAAGAACACGGGAGGTGAGGGGTGGGGAACTCTGCAACGAGAACTGTTTTGACTCAATTTGACCTATATTAAATTAAATTAGAAGTCAATTTAACAGGAGGAGGAAGCACATATGACTGTTTTATTTACCTGTAGGTAGAACTATTTCTAAAGTATATCTACAGTATTTACAAATGAAGATAGAAATAAACGGAAATATTTTTACCTTTACAGTTAGGAGGGTCACTACTCCATTTGTCATGCTCAGAACAAACGAGCCTGCTCTCTCCAACAAGTGAATATTCTTCTGTTCCATTTGAAGGATCACAACTATAAGTTACTACATCCTTGTATCTAAATTCCTCCTGGTCGCTTCTGGTGTGTTTTCCATTTTGTATTTTTGGAGGGGGTCTACAATAGCTCTCTTAAAAAGGGAAAAAAAGAAGGCATGAAAGGCAAAAGGAAAGGTAAAAGATTAAGACAGCATTAGCAAAGTCTTTCAAGAGATTCATTAACATATGATTTGTAAAATCTAGTCATGAATCCAATATCCATTTAGAAGAAGGATTCTATGAGACACTGTATCATTCCAAATTCAAACCATTAACATAGAAATCAACTTTCAAAATAAACCTATTTTCTTAAATACCTATATAAAACATCTATATGAAATATCTCCATTTATCTACAAGGTCATGCTGTCTTTTGTTCTCATGATAAGAGATGCTGACAATTTAATGAGAAATATGCTTGTGATTAAAAATAAAACTCAGTGCTACTTGAGAAATGCTTTGTAATTTATAAATATATCCATTTGCTAAATTGGTGGTTTACAATACCAAGATATTATTGTCTTTTTTCACTTTCATCCTTATGAGTGTAGGGTGAAATTTTCCAGAGGCTACAAACTGTGTGATAATGCAACAGACTGAACCCAGATGTCATCCTTTAAGAAAGATATTGAAGAGATTTGCGATAGTTTCGCTACTTGTTTTGGAAAATTGATGTTTCATAAAAATATGTTGCATATGTTAACACGTATTGAGCTTACTGTTCTTAAAAATGAATTAACAAATAATTATTTAAAATACATCCTAGTTTTAATTCCAATATAATGAATGTCAAGATATAAATGACATAAAGGAAACCTCATTGGGGTCTTTGTTAATTTCAAAGGGGAAAAGGGTTCTGAGGCCAAAAAGTGTGACAACTGCTGCTCGGAATTCTAAAGAGAGAATACACTTACCTTGACAGAATGGGGGATTGTCACTCCAACTCGCAATTTCTCCAAGTTCACAATATAGAATTTTTGGTCCAACTAAGTAAAAACTAAAAGAAAAAAGAAAAACTTACCGTGTTCTTTACTAGTTAACAAGATGCAAATAATAATGAACAAAAGTTTTATATGGTTGTTTTCCTGCATGACAATAGTTTGAGAAAAAGTCTGTAAAACAATGAAACTGCTAAAACCTGCAATTTAATTAAAGAGTTTCTGCATTTGAACACACATTGGCCAAGAGGAAAAATGTCTAAACAAATCTGTCATAGCTGTCCGTCTGCACTCTTTGCTATCTCTGGCAATCACATCACACATTCATTTCTGTGTCCTTGCTCACGCCATTGCTCAGTAAGGACAACAGATGAGTAGAGAGAACAGGCCCAAAACCTTCCCCCCCTGGATTCAAGTCCCAGCTCCATGACTGACTTGTTATTTGAGCTTGGCCAAGTCCCTTAATGTTTCTCTTGCTCAGGTTCCTCATCTATGAAGAGGGGCTATAGAACAAACCTCAGGGGGTGTTCTGAGGACTAGATGAGGTAGCATCTGGCACACAGTGAGTGCCAGCTAAGTTTTAGCTCTTACTAATGTCCTTTAGATCAGAATATCTCAGAATAGCTCAGGAATACTACTGGAGGAAATCTCTGATGGTTTAAATTCACAGTACTCTCTCCTCCTTCTGGACTCGCATTGTAATGAGCATGAGTAATTCTATGTACTTGGTACTTCTCATTTTTGTTTTGCTTTGACATCTTTCTGGTTATATTGTGTTTCTCAAGAAGGCTATAACTTCTTGAGAAAAGTCTCTGTCTTAACCTTTTGGTATTCCTCAAAGTGCCCAACAGGCTCTCTCTCTATAAGTATTA